TTAGTAAAAAGATAAGCAGGGAAAGATCCACTAGTGGATAAGCACAGATCCACTAGTGCCCCATAGAATCCTTCACAAATCAATAAGTCTATTCAAACCCAGTCATGAGCCTTGTGTTTCTCATCCCCTAGTTGGGCCCAGACAACCAGGTTTAGTGTGTACTACTGTGGGCAGTTCTATTGATTCCACAGTAGAAAGAACTACGCCTGATAGTGTCTGGGGGATTAGGGCCACATTCAGGAATGAAAACAACTGTGTTCCTTAAGAGTTCCTGATGCTCGTACATTTCACCTGACATTTTTTGCGGCTCAGTTCACTCTAAAAAGAAGCATGCTACACCCACTTTGCAAGCAGTTCCTGATCACAGAGAGAGCAGATATCCCCAATATCCTCTACTCGAACACAAATAAAAACCTATCGTTTGCCTATTATTTTATCTTAAACAAATTGTACTGGATCAATGCTTCCTCCAAGTTAGAAATTATGAATCTATTTATCTAGCCACTGAAAAAGCTTTCAAAATTTCACATAAATCTTGATTTAGGAAACATACATTGAATCTGCACTGATGTGCAATCAACCATGAATGCAAATAAACTCTGGTAACTAATACATAGGTATGCTTCACAGTGTAACAGCAATTTCTAATAGAAAGTGTATTGGTTAAATCACTTTTTAAGTGCTTCTAGAATTAGCCCATTCACTAGTCACCATACTTAGGGCATTGGAGTTGATTTTGGTAGAGGTCATTCAGTTTCTTTCCCTCTTGCAAAGGACTAGAAGCTGGGATCAATGGAACATTAATCCGTATTAACTTATTTTACTGTTGGAGGAGTCATAGATTTGCCATTGAATTAACCATATTAGGTGTAAAACGGATTCTTTAATGACAATCTATGATGAAAGCATCTGTTGTGCCACTGTGACAGGAACTGCCCTCATGCCATTGTAAATCAGGAGTACCTCCAGTGAAGCAAGTGGAATTACACCAATGTAAGTCAGGTCAGAATCAGGCCCAATAGTAGTGAGTCGACATACTGAGGCATCCAGCCCACAGGTTTACATCCCCAGCTGTCTAATGCAACAGCAATGAGTTTCCAGATCTCTGTCTTGCAGGTGCAAGAGCTACTCTCAACAGTGAAACTGATTACTCCACAGAGGCAGGAAATAAGATCTGGGGCCTGATTCTCCATTGCCCTAGAACTTGTGTAGTCATTACAAAATATCAGAGGGGTCGCTGTGTTAGTCTGTATCCACAAAAACAACAAGGAATCCGGTGGCACCTTAAAGGCTAACAGATTTATTTGGGCATAAGCTTTCGTGGGTAAAAAAACCCCATGGGTTGAACCCAAATAAATCTGTTAGTCTTTAACTCCTCCTTGTCATTAAAAAGTGTTCCCCTAGCACTTTGGAGACAATGCAGTTACAAGGCAACAGAGAATACTGTCCTAACAGCATGGAATCTGTACCTGCCTTTGATTAGGAGCAGTCAGTATTGCACTGAGTAATTTGCAATGGAGGAAGTAAAGTCCTTTGGCTGAAGGATACCTAGCGCTTGGAAGTACTTTGATAATACCTGCTATTTGTTGCAATCTGCTGCATTTCAGAGGCCAAAAATATTGTCATCCATAAAAGGGAGAACTAAGTTGCCCCCAAGAAGGATGCTTCAGCACCAAAATCAGGGAAAATTTGCCCCCTTCAGTTCAAACACTGAATCATAGAATCATAGAATATCAGGGTTGGAAGGGACCTCAGGAGGTCATCTAGTCCAAGCCCCTGCTCAAAGCAGGACCGATCCCCAATTAAATCATCCCAGGGCTTTGTCAAGCCTGACCTTAAAAACTTCTAAGGAAGGAGATTCCACCACCTCCCTAGGTAACGCATTCCAGTGTTTCACCACCCTCTTAGTGAAAAAGTTTTTCCTAATATCCAACCTAAACCTCCCCCACTGCAACTTGAGACCATTACTCCTTGTTCTGTCATCTGCTACCACTGAGAACAGTCTAGAGCCATCCTCTTTGGAACCCCCTTTCAGGTAGTTGAAAGCAGCTATCAAATCCCCCCTCATTCTTCTCTTCCACAGACTAAACAATCCCAGTTCCCTCAGCCTCTCCTCATAAGTCATGTGCTCCAACCCCCTAATCATTTTTGTTGCCCTCCACTGGACTCTTTCCACATCCTTCTTGTAGTGTGGGACACAGTACTCCAGATGAGGCCTCACCAGTGTCAAATAGAGGGGAACGATCACGTCCCTCGATCTGCTGGCAATGCCCCTACTTATACATCCCAAAATGCCATTGGCCTTCCTGGCAACAAGGGCACACTGTTGACTCATATCCAGCTTCTCGTCCACTGTGAGCCCTAGGTCCTTTTCTGCCAAACTGCTGCCTAGCCATTCGGTCCCTAGTCTGTAGCGGTGCACTGGATTCTTCCGTCCTAAGTGCAGGACTCTGCACTTGTTCTTGATGAACCTCATCAGATTTCTTTTAGCCCAATCTTCCAATTTGTCTAGGTCCCTCTGTATCCTACCCCTACACTCCAGCGTATCTACCTCTCTTCCCAGTTTAGTGTCATCTGCAAACTTGCTGAGCCACGGTCAGTGTTATCAGGGAAGTCTACACAGTTCCTTTCAGTGGCAGTCATCTTCATAGGGATATTCTCAAGGGACCTAGAAGCAGGGAAAGGGAGAAAACAGTGGGGGGAAGACAGGCAATGGCCATAGACTACAGTATCGTCTCCCCTTCTCTTCATCCCCTTCACTAACATCCATTGTACAACCAATGCTGCTGTCCCATCTGTGGCAGGCCCAGTACGGACTGTGGGGAGAAAGCGTATATTGTGTGCCAGGCTACTAGCATAAGGTTAGAAGGGAACACAAAGCAGCAGCTGATCATCTTAACTGGAATTTAAAACCAAGAGTGCCTTGCACCTGAGGACAATATCCAGCCAGAGCCATCATCTCTGCACAAACACAAGGCTACATCAGGCAAGGACTTAATTATTAATACTAACAAATCACACACATGCATGTGACTAAGAGACCTACTGCATGTTACAGACTTGGCCTGATCATTTGGTCTGGGTGTGTCTAACTTGCCTGCATGTTTTATTCCTGTGTGTGATATGGTGAATGGCCATATATTGCAGCACCTCAGAAATAAAAACTTACCTCATAATGTGTTGCTCTATTTTAATCAGTCAGTGTTGGCTAATTTAGCAATTCTAGCCAAATAGGAACATCTCACCTTGTATGAGAGGCGCATTGGCTACTATTACAAACATCTCTGTACTGGAGTTTGACAGTCTGGTTCTATGCTGAAAAATTAGCCCTAAAGAAAGAAGGGGAGAATGAATTCACAGTATATGCGAAACGTGCAAACTCTAGGCTACGTTTGGATGGAGTCCGCTCAGATAGCCAATGCACTAAGAACCAAACAAACCCTTTAAGATGCTATATGCAAGAGAACAGTTCTCTAGAATAACCTAAGAGGACACAGAGGTTTGGTTCGGTTTTACATCCAGGCAGAGGCAGATAAGACAAAGATCTGTAGACAAGGCCACATAATTATTGTTTTTCAAGCCAACCCCTCACATTCTACTGTGTTTGTGAGACATCTTTTTAAACCCTTTTCAATCAGTGCATGAAGGAGATTATACATGCAAGGACTAAATATGATGATGTGACTATTGGAAACCCTTACGTGCTGGGTCAGCAGTGCATTTGGGGCTTCGATGCATGGATTTAATTGACAGTGCAGTCTTTCAGATTAAAAAAAACCCCTATTATTGTGTGTTAATTCAAGAAATATAAATTAATCTGATCACTGGCAGGTGTGGACCCTTTAAATGTGTGAACTGATTTTTAAATCTCTAAAACATAGTTTCAGGAGCTTTTTATTGGTAAGAAATCAACACTTCACCTCCCCTGTAACTATCTCCCTGACCCCATCCTAGGAGATAATGCTGTGCTGGACAATTTGCAGTGTGCATTTTGTGATATGTATTTGTATGGAGAGCTTCCACTGAATTTTTATGTAGTGTATAAGCCTGTTGTAATTAAAGTCGAAGCAATAAACCTTGGACATTGCTTGCACTATGTACTTCCTTACTGACTGCAGTACTTTACATATTGCACCGAGGAACACTTGCCTGTACAGTAGCCATCCGTTCACCCCAAAATACCCAAACACTGTGACAGAGAGCATTAAAGAAATTGGATCTACTGCTTACAAGTTAATTCTCTCATTAACCCACAATGAAAGATTGCCACTTAAGTGAAAGTGAGAACAGTTTTGTAGCAAAACCAGGCTGGCTAACCCCATTCAAATTAGTTCCACAAACAGGATCTATATATGCAACAAAAAAAAGTCTTAACCATTCTTTGAAGGACTAGGATTCTGCTTAATGAATGGCGCTATCCCTTGTACATACAAATGCCTGGCAAGTAGTGCTGCAGTAAGTAGCCCTATGGAGCAGCAGCAACATCCTTACTCCACTCTTGGAGGGTGGGAGAATAACGATCTAGGGATCAACAGCAAACAGCGAAGCTAGCACATGAACAAAACAGACCCGAGGGGTGGAAGTGGAGAGGCAGGAGCAGTTTAACATGCTACAGGCACCGACTAACCACAGCTGTGTATCGGATGGAGGGCAGGTTCCCAGTTACGCTGGACTGTGGAGTGGCCCTTAACGCAGGTGGAAGCTGATGATACATTTGACAATATAGTCAAAAATAAGATGGAGGGAGGTGAAAGTTTTGCTTAAACTCAGCGGAGTAGGAGAGCGGGTTTGCATTGGGCTGCTCAGCAACAACTGTGTCCTCTAGCTCCAGCGACAGGGAAACTAACCAGAAAAGTTCCCTCCGCGCGGGGGCTCTGGGCTGGGAGGGACACAGCAGGCGGTGCGGGAGCGGGGGGATTCTGGACTGGCAGGAGGCAACGCGCGGGGGGTGGGGGGTGCACGGCTGGTGGAGGGGCTCTGGGCTGGCGGGGTCTCAGTACCTGAAGTCGCTGTAGGGGTGGATGATCCAGAACCCGGCGGACTTGACCCGCTGCTGCTCCCGCTCCACCGCCTTCTGGCTGCCGAACATCCTCAGCGAGAACTTGTTGACCCCCGGCTGGAGCATGGCCCCGAACTGGCGCTGCATGAAGCCTGCCTGGCCCAGCCGCAGCTCCTCGTCCGGGGTAATCTGGTCGCCCCCCGCCCCGCCTTCCACTTTGATGGAGGCGGAGGCGGGCAGGGCCTGCGGCTCCGGCGGGGGGGACCGGGCGGGGGCCGGCGGGAGCTCGGGCTCCCCCCCGCCCTGGGGGCTCCGCTCCTCGCCGGGGGAGGCCGCCTCCCCCTCGCCCCCGATGAGCCGCCTGCCCTCGGCCGCGTCGTGCAGGTGCCGGCTGGCCAGCGAGGACAGGCTGCCGCGGAAGCGCCGGCAGTCCCCGTTGGTGCTGCTCTTGGCGCCCGGCTCCGGGCCGGCGTCTCCCCGGGTGCCCCCAGCCGCGGGCAGCGGCTTGAGGCGGATGCTCCGCCTGCGGGTGTCCTTGTCGCCGTCTCCCTCCTCATCCATGATCGACGCCTTGGCCCCGCCGGGCTGGGGCAGGCTGTAGAACCGCTTGCGCATGGCGGGGGGCAGCTTATCCATGGCGGCTGCTCCGCCCCGGGGCCCCGGCCTCCCGCACCCCAGCTCACCGGGCAGGGGGGGCCGGTGGCAGGCGTGTCATCTCCTCGCCGGAGCGTGCCAGCCACTGGCTCTGCATCAGGCTCAGCTCCGCGTCCGCAACAGGGGACGGCAGCCCCGTCCCGCTTCAGCTCCTTGCTGCCTACTCCCCGCGGGGCGGGGTCACTGCAATCCCGGGCCGCCCGGAGCCCCGCCGCCGGGCAAGTCTAGGTCCGAGCCGCACTCCGGGCCTGCCCCGCTGCGGCAGCAGCCGTGGCCATGCCGCCTGCGAACGGGCTGCGGCTCCGGCACAGCGCACAACTCGCAGGGGTAGCCGCCACCCACCCCGGGGAGCCTCCGCTCCTCACCTCCCAGCCACTAAGACACAATTAACCGCAACTTGCAGCATCCCCGGCTTGCTGACATCACTGCCCTCCTCATCCCTCCTGCAGCTGCTGGGGCTGGGAATATTCATGAGGCTATCTAATTCAATTGGGTTGCCATAGGAGCAATTACTGCAAACAGGCTCTGCCTACCTGAGCCATCACCCCGGTTTCTTAAAAGGGCAACGTCTGGCTGGGCAGCGGGCGTGTAGCTAGATGGACACTGGAATATTTCTGAGCGCAGCCTGCAATGTCCATTCGGGTTGGGCACTACAGCGCTGCTCCTGGTCCGGGATCCCAGGGTCCTCTTAGCTCATTGAGAAGGCTTATTGTACAGTTTAGTTTCAGAGGAAACTACTGGGGGGTAGTGAATTACAAATATTAAAAAGAGCAACCCAGGATCATTTCCCCTCGTTCTGGGAGTTGAGGCTGTGTCATGCAGTGTTGCTGCCGAAAACACTGTGGCTTTGGTGAAAGGGGAAAAATGTAAAGCTAAAGCGAGACCAGTTCACCTTGAAAAGCCAGCGTGCTGGACACATGCTTGCTGCATGCAAAGCAGAGGGTCTGAGGGATGCCCGGCGTTTCGATCGTAGGCTGGGCTCGAAGGAAGCCTATCTGTCTCTCTACACGCCGGCAAGCCATGGACTGGTTTCAGGCTTCCCTTTGTCTTGCGTTCCCCTCAGTCCTGTAAACATTACTGTCTCCCCCGCGGGGTTGGCTCTGTAGCGGTCATGAATCCAAGCTATATTTCGAAGAGCACCCCCGAACCAGGCAGGCTGGGTTTGATGTCGGGAGGGGGTGGAAAGCCTGGGCTTTCCCTGAGGCATGGGGAAACCACTTGGCAGGGGGCAGCTGACTCTGCGACTCACCCCAGACTCACCGCGTCTCCCAGGAGACAGCTGCTGAAACTGACAGTTGGACCTGGAGAGCCTCTCTCCCTTCCCAGCCCTGCACTGAACCTCCCTGAAGGGATGCCGAAGCCGTGGGGCCAGGACACAGCCAGGCGCATTCCTAGGGAGGGGGATTTGGTCATGTGCGCTCATGGATGGAGGATATTCGGGGTGGCTGTTTTTCACACCAGCTTTTCTAAACTGGTAGATTTGCGAACTGCCCTGGCGCCCCGTCTTTGCAGCCCAACGATTTACCGCAAGGATGAATTTGGCCCTATGCGCTAATGGATGGAGGATAGTATTCTCTATTGTACATGGGGGTCTAAGTCCTCCGCCCTCTTTATTTCCTTTCCTTTTGTATTTATTTAAAATAAAACTAAATCGGGAAAAGGCCACGCCCGTGCAATCTGTGCTGGACTAGCCGGCAGCCTGCACCCTGGTGATAACTGGCAGAGAAGGTGGGAATCCCCCCGCCTCCCCTGAGAAGAGCTGTACAGCTGCTCGCAACCAGATTTCCCAGCAGGCTGCTGCCAGTCACTGGCGGCATATTCCGCTCTCCAGCGACCTAGGGCGGCGGGATGTGTCAGTCACCGGAGTTCTGACTTCGAGGAAATGCAGCCAGCGGCGGAGTGACTTCACCGTGCACACTCACAGCATATGCCGCCACGGCCTGAGCAGCCCCCTCGCTCGGCAGTGCTTTCGCCTAGCATCTCCCCCCACCCCCGCAGCCTGGGGCAGGACCTACACCGACTGACTCCTGTGAAATACTCCAACAACTAGCTGGGGAGATTGTGAGCTTTCCTTGAGCAAGGCAGGCGCGGGAGGGGAATCTCAATTTTGAAATGTTTCTGTGGATTAGAAAACTCAAACCTCTGGCAGGATTACAGACCTGCCTTCCCCGCACCCTGTATTCGTGACATGCCACACGTATTACAGAAAAATATGTAGGAATATTTTAAGAGAGTTTTTAAAACATCCCTGCCTCTGTAAAGCGTGCGGCTGGGATTCAGCACAGCGCTTACCTTTAGGCACATGCTTCCAGCAACTCCTTGTTGGGCCCAGTCCTTCAGCTCATGCTTAAGTACCATTAACTTCAGTGGGTTTGATGCATGTGCTTAACATTAAGCAGGTGCATAAGTACTTTGCTGAATCTGGCCTCTGTTACAATGAACCAGTTTTTCAAAAACGTGTAAATCAGTCTGTCACTGTGGGTGCTAAGGTCTTTGGGAAATTTTTCTCCATGAGTCCTAAGTCCCAGGCTCAGAGGGAGCATTAAAACCTCTAAAAATGTCTTTAAATGGCTCTTTTATACCTTGAGAATTTCAAAGTCATGATCATTTTATTTGAGGACATTACAGGACTGGAAATAAGTGTGAAGGCCTGGGAATCAACTCTGAGAGCACCAAGCTATTATTATGGCCATTATTGGTATTATGTATTATGGTAGCATCTACCCTATGAGTAAATGGACTTCATAATAATATTTTTATGTGCAGAAAAGCTGCTACTGCTGTAGTACTGAACCTAACTCATCCTGGGCTCCAAGTACATGTCATTGTGGTGGGGAGGGGAGTGAGGAAACTTTTGTTTTGCAAGTTGATTGCTTTTTTAAATGGTGTCTGTTTGGAGCTCCCCAGGGCATTGGAATAAGTCCCAGGGAGATGGCTTTAGTGGACAGAGTGCAGGGGAGGCAGTAAAAGTGGCAGATTATTTAGCATGTGGTTCTGCAAATGATCACAGAGATACTGCATGAACATATGTGGTGTGTGTATACACGCATACATATGACATAATTTAAAGATTGCAGTACAGGCAGGGGTCCTGGAACAATTTTTACAGTGGGGGTGCTGAGAGCCATTGAACCAAACTGTAAAAGCTGTATATGATTGAAACCACTTTAACCCTTAGTTCCAGCACCTATGAATACAGCAACAGATAAATGCAAGCATCATGTGGATAGTGAGCTCAGGACTCATGAAAGGTAGCAGACAGAGTTCTGGAAACTGAAGTCCTCTATAAACTGTGGGAGAGGTACGATTGGCAGCTGCAGGGGAAGCTTCCTCCAAACTGCACTGGTGGGACCATCTCTACGGTGATAGGTTAGTTCATAATCCATCACCCATTCGGTCCTTGTCCTCACTGCTAAGACTGCCAGAAAAAGAGCTAATAAGTTTATCATGTAGACACCCGTCCATGAGAAACTGGAGTGAGCGCTTTCCTACCCCCATATTGCTAACCTACTATTACATTTTAAAGCCCATAAAACAAACATTTAACACACTGAGACAAGGAGATTCCATCTCAGGGTTTTGGTGACAAACCATTGGCTCTCCACTATTGCGGTTTATGGTGTCACTAGAAGCTAATAAAGAAATAGTCCTCTGAAACACACTGAGATCCTTTAAGAGCACCCCAATTAAATACATGGATATGATGTCACAAGATTGATTAAATTCAGCCAATGGCTTGTAACTCTCACTCCACACCTCCTGCCCACAGCTAGTGAGGTGGCAGTTGAGGGTGCTGGGGCAGGAGGAGAGGACATGAAGAGGACGGTACTGGAGCATATGGCAAGGTCCTCTCCAGAGGTGAAGGAGAGAGTGTTCTGCAGTGGATTCGAGAGCTACACTAGAGGTTAAAAAGAGGTTTTTGGAACCATTGAGTCATTCCAGAGGGGAGGGCAAGGATCTTTGCCATCCTGAAAGTGAAGGTGAAAGAAGCAAGAAGGCCTTTCTATTACTCAGGAATGGGGGTGGGTGAGACAGCATCCAGAATCCACCAAGGGGATCTTGGGGAGATGAGGTAGGCCAGAGCAACAATGGTTTCAGGAGGAGAGAGGATGGCAGCAGAAAATATGACTTGGGGGAAGAGCAGGGAAGGGGAGGTTAGTAGAGGTGTCAAGGGGGAAGAAGCTGTAGAGCCAAATTCAGCTCTCACTTACACCAGTGCTAATCTAGACTAATCCCATTAACTTCACCTGTGTAACCAAGTAAAAAACTATGTGCCTCTATCCAAGATACGCATGTCCATGAAGTACGATGGAGATGTCCTCATTACTCATAAACAGTTTCATTACTGGAGGGTAACGAGGGCACCTCTGTTGCATGATCAGTCATGCCTATATCTATGGAAATAGGACACAATGTGCAGAAAACAACCCCCTGATGTTCTGAGGGTGTTTGGATTTGCTGTGTAAGTTAGTATTCTCACCACAGCAATTTGCTAAAATTCACCGCTTGAGACATAATGACCAGCAACAGCATTCACTCCCCCATTACTTTTCGACTAGGGGGGGAGGGACTGGTAACAAAATATACAGGTATGACCTAAGATGGACAAAGCACCCAGGAAATCTCTCTCTCTTTGTATACAAGAGCTGCTCCTCTTATCTTGCCACCTATCTTAAAGATATATAGAGAATCAATTGAGTTAATAAGTAACAAGAGACCCTGGCTGAGATACAGCCTGCTAGAGGTTTTAAATATGTCATTAATTTTAATTGGAGTTTGCATCTAAATCCCCTAGACAGTTTTGAAAATCGTTACCTAAGCTTTACTGATGAGTTTCCTAATATTTATAGTGAAGCACTGCCATTAAATTTGTACCTAGAACTTAAATTCAATACAACTTACATTTTAAACACATATTCCATCCAACTCACATTGCAAGTGAGGTCTGAGGACCAGGTTCCTCAAGGTCCACCTCTACCTGGGCCCATCCAGAATATTGGTGAGGCAGCTTGGGGAACTTTGCTCAAGATGGGTCAGTGCTGTGGTTATCTAAGGACTTCTGTCTCAAAGTAGACCCTTTCACCCACACTCAGAGAGTTGTAATTTAACAGAGAATAGGGATCCTGTTTCATGAATCTGTCCCCATCTGTGTATCTTCCTACATGACTTGCACTGTATCGGCTCTTACCAGGCAGGGATGGTGTGATGGATTGCCCCGTCTGGGGTGCCACCTGATATACTGGGGTACCACTAAGCCTGCCAGTTCCACCAGTCTGGGTTCCCTTACACTGGCCTGCTGAGCCAGACCCTCAAGCCTCCTCCAGCACACACACAGGTAGGGCCACACCCAGCTGCAGAAAGACACACACTGAGATCAG